TTTCAATACCTATCTCCCAGAAAGGGATATTTATTACAAAGTAAGTCTCGAATAATTCAACACAGCAGTCGACTAACTCTTCCACCACAACCACCGCATTCACATCACAGACTTTCACTTTACCTTTCTCTCCACTATCTCGCAAGTACGCAAGACAGGATAGAACCGAAATGACGAATACACACGAGCAGCAACAAACTTGCCAACCTCTCCATCGCCCAACATGGCGATCATCAAACGGACTCGGCCGTCTGCGCAACCGCTTCCAGAACCTGCCAACGGAGGTCCTGCTCGTCATCATAGAGCACGTCCTCCAGCCCGAGGCTCAAAAGCCGAAAATGCAAGCCCTCGCGGAGCATCTCTACCTCGGCCTCCTCAACGACAGATTCCGGGAGTTGATGACACCCATCCTCGAGTCCCACGTGCGCAGCAACTTCTCCCGTAACACAAACGCAAGCATGGGCACGACCTCACAGACAGATCCGGGCGGGTTATACTCGTACATCCTCATCCTCTCCACGATAAGAGGGTTCCCCGAAGGAGTCAACGCAGCCCTGGACCTCGGCGCGGACATCAACGCCAACGACGGCATCGACAAGTCCCTCGCAGCCAACGAGATTCTCCGCGGCAAGCCGGAACCTAAGGGGTCATGCTTGACCTCCCTCCACTGGGCGGCCTTTAATCGTGATACTGCGATGCTCCGCCTCTTACTAGACCGAGGCGCCGACGTCCAACGCACGACGCACAGCTCCATCGACCGCAACCTGATCCGGACGCCGCCCCCGGATTCGCCCCCGAAGCCAAACAATCGCTGCAAAATCAATACGACGACGCGGGTGAATGCTCTGGGTTTCGCGCTGCAGGCGAATTACAGCCTCTTGCCTGGCGGCATGACGGAGCAGCAGCGGAAGGCGTTTGTGGTTGATCGCGATACGCGCGATGAGGAGGCTGTGAGGATACTCATCGAGGCGGGGTGTCCTGCTTCCGTTATGGTGCATCGGGAGCGGGAGTTCAAGGACGCCTGTGAGCTGGGGCGGTGGGGCGTTGCGCGGGATATCTTGGCGAATATGGAATGGAGGAGAAGGTGCGCTGAGAGGGATGAGTATAATTCGCGACCGTCTGCGCCATTGTCTCTTAAGCGTGTTGCTAGGGGAAGGAATCCTAGTCGGCGGGTGGTGGGCTATCATGCGAATGAGTGGTGATGCTGTTGAAGGATGCTTCCGAGGATAATGAGGTAATGGGAGAGAGGGAAGGGGCGAAATGTCTGCTCTTTTGTTGTTGATTTCCCCTGGAGGAGATTCTACTTCTGGGTTCACGATGGCGGCTGGTAGAGTTTGAGGAGTGTCTATCTGGAAGTCGTGATACGCAAATGCATACAGTCTCTGTACTAGCAGTAGCCGAGATTCTGTTCTGGCCTTGAGCGATCTCAGCCTTACTTCTCCGATATAGGAGAGATGTTCATATAGTAGAAGTATATTAGTATACACCTTCGTAGACATCACCTCAAGTCTGAAGTCCAACTCCATGACACTTTGCAACGTCTGACAGGCATCGTTTACATTTACCCACGGTTCAAATCAACCTCAGCTTCACCACATCCCTCTATACTATGAATACTCAACACTCCCTTCAAAAGGATAGGGATCCCTCACAACCCTACCGACCTGTGAATCCCAATCCGGATCGCCAATCCCATCCCCCTCCTCCTTATCTCCCTTCCACCCGCCGCGTGGCCTGGTCGTCCTCCCCATCTCCCCCCTCCCAGCCCGCCCCCCACTTCCCGCTCCATCACCACGTTCACCACCAGGCCCATCACCATCATCACCATGCCACACCCTCGCCACGCGCCCCTTTCCCCTCACCCCCTTCATACACCCGTTACTCAGCCCCAACAAGCCCGCGCTACCCAGCAAGAGCACGAGCAGCACCAAATTCCCCGCCTGCGAGACGTTGCCGCTGAAGATGGCGACGACGTACACGGCCAGCTTGGCCGTCGCCTCGAGGTAGCCCTGCACGGCCGTCTTTGCGAGGAGCCAGGCGTCTGTCGTCAGGGCGGCGAGGTCGTCTGCTGGGCCGCGCATGCGAATTTTGAGGGAGGGGGTTAGGGGGATGAGGTACTCTGTGAGTTTTGGTGGTAAAGACGATATGGCTATGCCGCCGTTGCCGTTGCCATTGCTAGCGAAGAACGCAGTGGCCGGCGGCGGAGGAGGAGGGGAAGGGGTGCGTTGTTTGATAATGTAGATGTTTAAGAGGCGGGATGTGATGAGTGCTAGGATCGATGCGAGACCCCACCCTTTGTGGGCGTTAGTTCGGCTTGTAAAGGATACTCCACCACCGAGATCTAGTTTGAGGTTGATTGTGGGAGAAGAGATCGCGATCAAGGGGGTTTGGTGGAAATCGAACGATCAAGGTGGGTTACCATGCAGAAGGGGGGAGCCAAAGACCCAGGAGGAAATGGGAGATGTTGGAAAATTTGGAACAAAGACTTACAGTCTGCTAGTAAAATCATGATAGTCAGCGCAGCAAACGTAAGAACCGGACTCGCGAGGTACAGCAAGTGACTCCCCCGCTCAAACTCCCACTCCGAACCGTGCTCAAAAGCTCGACCGCGTCGGTTCCGGCCCCGGCTCCGTTTCCGGCCGGTGGAGAGGGTGCCGACGTCGAGTGTGATGATCTTTTCCCCGCTGCCTCCTCCGCCTCCTACTACTCCGGTCCCGTAAGCCTCGATCCCACCGCCGCCGGCCAGCTTCTTCCTCTTGAGATCCTTCTCCCGCGCCCGTTCCTCCTGGACCCCAAGTCGGGAAAGAAACAACAGCATTCCCGGATTCGTCACCTTAACATCCTTCTTCCGCCCGCCGGGCAGTGCCTGCGTACCGAAGATGCCGGCACCGCCGTTTCCTCCGCCTCCTCCCGCGGCGGCACTCCCGTAGCCGAGTGCAGCGGACGTCTGGGCCGTGACTACACCGCTGGTCCCCGCGACGCTGTCGGCCGCTTGCTGATAATGCAACCCCGGCGCGAGGACCAGTGCGTCGAACCAGGACGACGTGCCCGTCAGCGCGGTACGGTTGGCGATGGTCTGTAGGTCCGCGAGGGCGACGAGCCCCGCTGCTGAGAGGGACAGGCCTGGGATGGGTTCTTTGGAGAGGACTGGGAAGGGCATGATGTCGGGTGCGGGTTTGCTCGCCCAGCCTTTGTTCTCTACAGGGCTCGACGAGGAAAATGCTTTTGAGGGTGGGAGCTGGCGTAGATCTCTTTTCTTGACTGGGTTTGATCGGCTTGAGCCTCACGCTGATGACGTGGTCGAGATCCCCGGCGGCGATTTTGTCACGAGGACGAGGAGGGCATGGTGTTGGCTTTCTCCGTTAGCGATGACAAAAGACAGGATGAATCACGATGAGCCCGGGATGTTGTCTCCATGAGCAGGCTGATACGCAAACAACGAAAGAAAGTTCCGTCCGAATGACCTTGGGTTGCAGGGTTGCATCCTGCTGCGGGCTGACCCTTTCGCCCCTCCATCCCACCCTCCATCTTGCCCCTCCTCTATCCGAGCTGCCTGGCATATCTAGCTCTCCGAATCTCCAAAGCCTCCCAGCCTCTCTCTGCTACCCCGACGCTATTACGTGCATGTGAAGTCGCAGCCAAGCTTGGAGCCGTTGCGAACGATGGCGCTGACGTTGGGTCCCCCACCTACCAACGCTAAGGTGTAGGTAGCTCGCGCCGGCGTTGATTGCTACTCCGCATCTAGAGAGTTCCGATTTCCTACCCCACCTACCATGTCAGACGCCGACCGGCCGGCCGGCGCCGGATAGACCCGTTTTGTCTCAGACAGAGCGAGTTTGCAAATAAGCTTAAGTCGAGGGAAACGACGCATTATTGGGTTGTGGACGTGAGACTTACTTAACGCTACAGCAACCTTTCAAGGGCTCTATCAAGGGCTGGAGAAGAGCTAGGTTCTGGGAACAGCTCCGAGTCAGATGTGCTTCAAGTTGATCGGTCTGCTCTAGTACTGCGAAGTTGAGAGATTGGTCAGTGTTCAAGGCATCGCCTTCGGCTTTGCTTTGAAGCCCGTTGTCATCGGACGAGACTCTATGATGTGTCTAGTGGTCATACCTATGGAAATGAGCAGATGGTACAATGAAATAAACCGGAGTGTGCCTCAAGTACCCCATGATGAGTATGAGTTGAGCTGGATGCGCCTCTTTATCCTACCTTATCTGAAAGCGTCCAAAATGCCCAGTCAGATGGCCCTCAGCTTTTGGGATACATTTAGACCTTGCCTTTTGTCGTTATAGTGAATAGAGACTCGAGCTCTGGCATTCAGTGGCTGCCTCGTGAAAGAGCCACCTGATAAGCTGATTTCACTATGCCACTTGTATCTCGCAAGTAGGAAAACCAATTGATTCAGGTGTATAAACCGGTAACTTGGGAAGTAGACTTCATAGACCAAGGAAGTGAGGCCCGTACCTAGATAATCTGTCATCGACAGTAGGTCGTTCATCTTTTGATCGTCGTACCTTTTTCCCAATCAGAGCTCGGTGGTTTTTGAATGGTCAGCCACATCCATGGAAACTCAGCAAGTCAGAACTTGATGAAGGACCCTTGCTCTGTGAAGTATATAGCTAGCGAAGCTTTCGAAGACCCTGATTGAAGCAAGTCCTGACTTTCGTGGCCTTTTGGATGGCCCTAGGCAATACCACTCTCACGGGAACTTCTATGGAGAGACTCCATCCAGCTTATGGACAGAACGATAGCCAAATGATGTCCCATCAAGTTGTGTCGACCTCGAACACATCCTTTTCAAAAGACTCAAAACCCAGTTTAAGTTCATCCATATTAACAAGTTAGAATCCGTTATGGATGCATCAGGAGAAGATAGTTCATCCGCGCCAACGATCCCAGCCGCAACAGCAGAAACACCACATCAACCTTCCATTAATGCCTAAAAAACAAACCGAAAACACCTCATGATATCCTCCCTCGAAATCATCGCCCACAACCTCTCACAAATACGGCCCCAAGATCTCCATCGTCAAATCCCACACCTTCCCCTGCACATTCCCCCTCAACTCCACCAAAGCACTCTCGCTATACGAAACCTCCCCCTTATGATTTACCAAAAACAACCCATTCCTCCCCTCCTCCCCCCTCGTGTTCTTACATCCTTTCTCCTTCCCGTCCCCCTCCTTTTCCCCTTTCGGTTTCCCACCAAACCTCCCACAAGTCGCCAAATAAACATGCCTCTCACCCGCCTCCCTCTCCTCAAACCCCATCACCAAAAACAACGGCCTCAGCAAATTCGTCAGCGGGAACGGACTCCACCACGTCGGCGTGTGATACCGCGCCATGTTCCCCGTGTCCACGGCGCCAGGCCAATTATGGACAAAAGACACCCCCGCGTTGGCCGGGTCGGAGGCGAGCCTGTCTAGGAAGAGGGTGTTCATGATTGACATGTGCGTCTGCGTCTTGAAGCCGAAGAGTCTGCTGCTGTTGGTGTTGCTGGGGGACGAGCGGGTGAGGTTGAGGTCTGTTGCGTCGATGCGGGTGGAGAGCATGCTGCCTGCCAGGACGGTGAGGACGCGCGGGGAGGGGCTTGGGCCGGGGGAGGATAAGGATGCGGAGGCGGAGGCGCGGAGGAGGGGGAGGAGGTGGAGGGTTGCGAGCATGCGGGAGTAGTACTCCAGGGAATGGCAGACATCTATCCCTTCCGCAGTATCTAAACCGAAATCAGCATCTTCACTCAACTCATCCATATACCCCCTCTCATCTTGCACAGAAACAAGCGAAACCTCTCATCAAAAACTCACCATTCCGCCCCCCAAAAGGCGCATACCCAGCCGTCAAACACAAAAAATCGAGACTCGTCTCTTTCGCTTTCACAACCTCACAAACCCTTCTCGTCTCCGCCAGCAACGAGACCTCGGCCTCGAGCCAAATCAGCTCGGCACGCGGGTTCTTCTGCCGCAGGTCCTCGAGCACGGGTCTCATCGCCGGCTCCGTGGCTTTGCGGCCGGCGATGTAGACCCGTATGGGAAAGCCGAGGGATACCAGCTCGATGAGGGTGAGCTTGCCGAGGCCTGACGTGCCGCCTAGGAAGACGGCCGTTCGGGGCGCGGTTCGGGATGTAAGGGCGGCGTTGGAGTGTTGGACCTGGGCGCGGGTGACCATTTTGTGTATCTTTTTTTGGTTTGTATGTTTCTTGTATGACTGGTTTTCTTACAAAGAAGTTTGATTCAAGAAGAGGAAAGATGTAACAGCTGACTTGTGTCGTAAGAGAGCGCGCGACCAAATCTACTGAAATTCATCGCCTTTTCATCATCTTTATACATCATTCGCAGGAGGTTCGCATAGCTTCGCATTCTTCACCGGGTTAGCACCACCGGGATAGTAGAAAGCGGAGTTTGCTGACGCGCTAGTGGGAAGGAACTAACACCACATGCAAGCCCATCGGAGCATCACTCTGTAGTGTTGCCTAAGGTACCTTACCTTAAGGTGACTTATGGATGGGCGTATTATCATTGCGCATTCCATCAATGACTTGACCAATCATATCAAAGTCTCAACACTTGCGTTGGCGAGACCACTTCAAGCCAGAGGGGAAACTCGTGTGTTCCAACTTCCAGCTTATGAACGCCGAACATCCGGGCGCGGGCGTGGAAAGTGGAGGTGGAGTTTTGCGCCCCTTCGCATTCCCGATCCGGTAAGCGAAGATACTCCACTTCTCCGCGGTCGTCGGCCGGTGGCTAGTGGGCCTCCTTCCGGTCATGAGAGTTGGTGAAGCCAGTGTCTCTCTTGCAGTTCTCAAAATCTCTCCTCGACATAAGGTACCTCATCTCAGGGGCGAAGGATGCAATGAATGTCAACTTCCTCTCACCCCTTGTTATCAGAAAAATTCGGACATGATGAATGATTACTTCTACAAAAGTGCACGATTCCGGGGCCAAAAGGGTTGTCTTGACGAAAGGGTATGTGACGTAGTCCGGGTTAACATCTGGTTTGGCCAGCGGTTCGGGGTGTAGTCTATCCCGTCGGAGAAATAAAGAATTGGGAGATTGTTAGTGCAAAATGTGCTTACACGCTGACCTGGAGCCTGGAGGACACCCAAAGAGGACGCAGAATCATTACGGTGAGGGAGTGACGGCCAAGTCATCTGCATAGAACTCTTGAGACAGTAGCTCGCCATAACATTCTGCGTCATGTTTTCTCCGAATCCGCGTCAATGACTCTTGTGCGATCCACGAGACCATGAGTGAGCGGGACAAGAGCAGACACAACGAACCCTAAACAATCCGTCAGGAGATGATTCGGAAAGTCTTCAAGTTTTCGCAAAGCCTCCTCGCCTCCTGTGTCCACCAATAAGCAAGTTTGGCGAGAATGAACCAATGTTTCGTGATACGCGGCTGGGGTCTCGCGCGCGCTCTCCATCATCAAGGGGGTCTCCACGTTTCGAGTCGTCGATCATGGGCTGAGTATTCGTACACGACATGATCAGAATCTGAAAGGTCCTGAAAGGAAAGGAAAAAAACAATCATTTGGCGGCATATCACTTGCCTTAAATACGATTGCTGGCTATGGAAAGATGCATCGCCACGTTTAGACGCCAGGCTTTCGATACTCTTTCGCTTGTTGTTGTTCACTTATGGTAACCGTCGACACTTCATTGCGATTAGGGCCTGGGCAGTAGAAGCTTATTTTGCTGGTGTCTCTCGGCGGACAATAGAGGCCTGCACTAGCGAGCGGAGAGGCACGGCGGGACAAGCAGCCAAGTGCCAAGTGCTGCAGGGCACAATGGAACGTCGAGACGCCGAGAAGTGCGACTAGGACAGGACCAATCGCCAATTTCCAGCCCTGGAAGAATTAAGGATGTCTCACAACAAGGGGCAGAAGCAAGCTTGCTTAGGTTGCAACATGCGGAGAAGAGTTCTAGTACGACGTCGACTGCTCTCAACGCAACGGTAAGTGCTTGGCGACATCGGTATCCGCAGTGTGAAAGGTGCGTGTTCCGGACCACCTCTACCGGAGCAGAGAGCTGGCATCCGAATTGGGGCGAGTGGTCTGCTTCGGGATGCGAGGGACGCGAGGGATACGCATGTCTAGCTCAACTTCTCCTTTGCGATGAAAGAGTATGACTCTAATGCCCAGGGGCACTTCACTGTCCTCGCTACAAGCCAAGCCAACTTACTCCGGAAAGACTCCGTCACGAGTGCCGTCGTCACAGCTTCATCATGCTTATAGAATCATTGTTCTGAAGGAGCGGCGATTGTCCGTTCGCTTACCCTCTTTTGGCGCATTGCTTTCTCTTCAGGCATGTGCTCGGAGCCAAAGAATCGATACACGAGTTCCATGTAGACAGAATCTTAAGTGGCGAGAGAATCAACGCCAGTGTTTCTCGCTGAGACGTCCCAGCCGCGGTGCGGTTCATCCTGGGTCAAGTGACAGCGACAGCGTAGACACTGCAGATCTTGCGGATGTTGGATGAACCGACTGACAGTGACAACTTGACAAGCCGAATGTTACGGGCGGTGCTGACGAAATATGAGGAGAAGTCGTCTTGGCTCACGCTCGCCGATGACCAGACACCAGCTGCGTGGTTTATGCGTCGCAGAAAAACTGGCTGGAAACCCTTGGTGATGATGGAGATGACGACGTCCTTGGCCACCAAGACGGCATTCGGGATTCGCCAAGCCCACTCTGCTGAAGACTGTCGTTGGACCTTATGGGTGACGTCGCATTCAGATTGAGTTCTCTTGATGATGATGGAGACGAAAACGCTGGGCGACTTGGCACGTCGTCGGCAGAGATGGGGTCCCAAACAAATAGCGAAAGCGAAGACCAGCGCCAATGTCGAGTTGAGCGAGTTGCGCGCCGGACACCAAGGACGGACCGTCGAGTGGTCTAGGCAGAGGGAAAGAGGGACAGAGCGTCAGGCCTTCCCAGCTGAAGGGTAACTCTTTCTGCTCTCTGTGGGGATCGAGAACCAGGTCGTTCAGTTAGGACCACAGCCAAAAGGCTGGCCGGCAGGCAGATACTGGGGTGAAGCCGTGAGCGGTGAGCCTGAAAGGACTCGAGGAGATGGGGATAGCTTCTCAAGTTCCCATGTCGTCGCTAAAACATCAGACGCGGTTCCGGTAGACGCTGGGACTTGGCGCCAAAGGAGGGGCCGTCTGACGTTTGGAGCGCGCCAAGAAGCTTCAGATGAAGGCAGGCGGTGCCGACGGGGAGGTCGAGACGGTCGGCGGGAACGCGGAGAGGGATGGCATGGCTGGCAAATGGGGCGCGGCGAGGCGTGGTATTGGTGATGGACAGTTGCGTGGGTGGTAGAAGTCCGAACTTTGAGGACGTACTCCCGTGACTCCGTAGACCGTAGACGGTAGGCAAGTAACAAGGTAGGTTGAGTCACAGGCTGGCGTAGCTGGTAGAGAAGGAAGGGACCGGGGCTGAAGAGCAGACGAATACTACCGCGCAAGCGACGTCGTTGAAGACAATTGGTGAAGTTGAGATGCGGAGGTGGAGGTTTGTCGCAGGCCCCAGCAGTTTGGAAAGGGCGTGAGACGCGCCCAGAAGAAATCAGGAGGTGCAAGACTTGGCGAGAGGCGCGGCCGGCGAACGCAAACGCAGCCCAGTCCTCAAGCGGTCCATTGGTACCTTAGGCAGCCTACTCCCTACCTTACAGCAGGTAGAGGCGCTGTAGTGAGGATTAAGCGAGGGGACTAGCGGACACCGTGGGTAGCCTAACCTGGTTCAAGGCAAGTTATCCGTTGCAGGGAAGATGTTTCCAGTGGGTGTACCGCCTGGATGGAACGCTAGGGTGCACAGCGGCCAGGCGCTCTCCCACATCACGACGCTTCCTCATTGGCAGTTTTCCATCGCTTAGCTTAGTCAGTTCTGGACTTTGAGCCGTACTTGAGGTTAACCTCCCCGTCTGCTGTCAAGGACACATGGTGGCGGCTCACATATCGCAAGCCATCACCAAGTTGACCCCTTCCACTTCCGCCCCAGTTTGACTTGGCAGCCATTTAAGCTCTTGGCCCTGCAAAAATCAGCTGTTTTCTTCCTCCCTACCCCTTCTTCCTGTCATCCCTTCTCACAAGCCTCTCACCTCCCAACAGGATCCAACGTCTTTTCAGTCTGAACGTGTCTGTCAGACAAGTTGTCGGGCTCTCTTCCGTCGTCATCCATGGACTGTAGCTTGGCTGCAACGCAAGAAGGAAGGAACCTAAGTAACCTGGAGTGCAATATGCGTAAGGCAGGAACGTGCTTCATCTGAGGTGCTTCAGCCTCGCACCGGGTCTTGCCACGCAGTCAACTTAACTTGCTCTTTCCTGCTGCGGTCTGGAACTGGCTGCTGTGTGTCCTATGCGTCGTCTCACCACGGGGTGACGGTTGGGAAAAGTGGACCCGAATGCCCCTGTGTCGTCCGAACAGACTCAGCGTGACAGAGACAGGCAAGAGCAGGAGGTCGTGCATGGCTTAAAGGCTGTTAAGGTTTAGAGCGCTACCAAAGGTGAACAAGGTTTTTCTGACGGCTGCCTCATCCCTGGTTGCTTCCTGCCATTACACAGCACCTTACCTTACTCTTGCCATATCTGCCACGCGTACGAGTAAGAGCAAGACGATGGTTCTTTAGAGCTTGCATCTACCGGGCTACCTTACCTACTTTTTGCCCTCACCTTACTTGGAAGGAAAGAGCAAGCTTGGGCCTACCTCACCTTACCTCAACCTGAAGTTGCTGCCCAGACCATACCTTACGCAGGCATCGCACCTACCAGCTTTTCTTTACATCTCTAACGCCCTCACTCAGCCGAGGAAGGAGACACATGCGGATACCTTCTTGAGTAAGGTAGTAGGCAAACACGGATAACGCAGCACAGGGTACTCCGTACTCCGTACTTTCCTTCCTTTCCTACCTTAAGGTACTCAGCCAGCCCGTAACACGTGGTTGAGGGAAAATCCGAGAGATACGTACCCAAAGCCATCCTTGCCATTGCACCTTCCATCCATACCTGAAGGTACTGCGTACCTACCCAGGCAGGCCGTGTCTGAGTCTCGTGCTCCAGTGGCAGGTGCTGCTACTCCCCGCCTACCAAGCTCTTGGTATCCTCTTGGATGCCTTGGACGAAGAGCCTCAATTCTTGACTCCCGTCTTCCCCTAGACATCACTCCCGCATATGATAGTCCTCCGGCTTCGACTTGGCCAACACCGCTCTTGTCGTCGATCCTTCCGAATGCTTATTTTTAGCCACCCTCCCGCTTCTTGGGAATCACTTGGGTAAATGCAGTCATTCAGCATCACCTAACATGATGGTGTTGATATCCAGCCCGTCGTCTCAACAAGATCATCGCTAAGATGATCTTTGGTAAGGGGGCTTCGTCTCCGTCCGAACCAGCGCTTCTCTCCCACAGCCGTCACTTCAATCAACTCCCACGTTGAGACTCGTGGAACGCGCATCGCAGGGGTCTTCTCTCCAGCTGTTGACTTGGCCAAGCACCAGACTCATAAAGTGGCCATATTCCCCACAACCCCGTCCAACCCTCCGGAGCCTGGCAGTTTCACCCTGGCGACGTACTCCCATCCTGTCAACTCGACCAGGGTCGCAGGGCCCCCTGGCTTCCGCTCTCTTGTCCAAACGGCCCTCCTTCTAGCCTCCTCCTCCGTCTCAATAGCCTCGCCCGGCCTTGGCCGCCTGCTCTCAATCATTGATCCTGGTCCATAGTCCAGATGACATGCAGTCGCATTGGATGGAGAAGCTTGAAAGCCCCCCTCCCATTCTGCGCCAGAAACATGCCCGCGATACCATGGGAAACGGAGGCGCTCATCCCCAAACACAGGGAATCCTAAACCTCATTCATCAACCCGTTCTCTTTTTCCTTCTGAGCCTCTCACTGCTCCTCAACACCCTGGATGAAGCACATGCCAAGATCCTCACCATGATCCCGTCCCTCGCTGCTTATCCGCCCCGGCCATCTTCGCATGGGTTCTTGCCTATTGATACTATTCTTGGACCTGTGAGGTAGATCATCAAGATAACCAGCCCTCGACTACAGTCTTACAGATCATAAGTATATAGACATCATGCCATCTTGATGCAAACATACTCCTTCTCTCGGCTCATCTCGTTCTTCATCTCCATCATCTGTCTTTTCTTTCACCTTCAACTTCTCTTCTCGTTCGTTTCGTTTCTTCCCCTAGAGGGCTGGTCCTACGTTTTTCTTCAATAATCTACTTTTTTGTAACTCGCTTCTATTCTTCCCTTCCTTCGATCCTTTGTAGGCCCCCCACGCGCTGGTCCCGTATCCTACCTTTAGCTCAATATGTCTTCCCGTCTCATCACCTTCGGCTTCTTCGCCGCCTCTATCTCCCAGGTTCTGGCCTCGTGCGCCTATGGAACTCACTTGGATCCTCGCGCTGAGGAGGGAAAGGTCAAGGTCAACAACTTTGCTTACACCGGCAGCAATGTGAGTGCTCTCTCTCCTAGAAGCCGCACACCTCAATACTAACAATGTCGTCAAGGGCCCCTTGAACTGGGTCGCTCTGGATACTACTGCCAACCAGCTGTGCGCCACGGGAACCACCCAGTCCCCTATCGACATGGTGGCCGGCTCCTTCAACGTTCTCCCCGGAAGCTCCATCAACCTCCAGATCCCCGACATGGCCGATGGCACCGAGTTCGAGAACTTAGGAACCACCGTTGAGGTTATCGCCAAGGGCGGATCGATGCAAGTTGGAGGCAGCAACTTCACCCTGCAGCAGTTCCACTTCCACTTGCCCAGTGAGCATCTCGACGCCGGAAAGAGCATGGCTATGGAGATGCACATGGTCTTCGAGGGTGCCAACCAGGAGATTGCCGTCATTGGTACCTACATCGACCTGGAGCAGGGCGCTGCCGCTGCTGCCCCCGCCGCCCCTGTCGCCGAGGCTGCTCCTGTTGCTGAAGCTGCTCCCGCTGGAGGAAACGCAACTGCTGAGCGCCGCACCAAGCTGGCCCGCCGCGCTGCTACTGGAGCCGCGGCCGAAGCCCCGAAGGCTATCCCCGCGATGGGAACCAACCCGATCAAGGCCGAGGCTGCTTCTTCTAGCCTTCTCGAGACCGTCTTCTCTTCCCTCGGTGCCATCAAGGAGCCCGGTACTGTCACCAAGACTGGCGCGCTGAACATGCAGGAGGTCGTCACTCTTCTCTCTGCCGGCAGCTTCCAAAGGTACGATCCACGTCTGACAGTCCTCTGATTTCCAATGTCTAATTCTTTTGCAGCTACATGGGTTCCCTCACTACTCCTCCCTGCTCTGAGGGTGTTCAGTGGCTCGTCTCAACTCAGCGCCTGATGGTCCAGCCCCAAACCTTTACTGCCGTCCGTGATGTCATTGGCTTCAACGCCCGGTTCCCCCAGAACACCCTCGGCCAGGCCAACATCATCCAGGTCGCCCAGCAGAGTCTCACTAGCGCCAACATTGCCAACCCCGTTGCTGCTGCTCCCGCTGTCGCTGCTCCTGTTGCCGCTGCGCCCGCCGCTCCCGCTGCTGAGGCTGCCAAGGAAGCCGCTCCCGCCGCCGCCCCGGCCGCTCACGCCTAAACGATCAATAATGGTCAGCCGGCGAGGACAGCGAAAGAATCAGCGTCGCGAAGTATCATTGCGACTCAGCTGACGCAGTAGGCTGGGACAGGATGTGCAAGGATGCTCGATGCCTGTTTTGAGTTCAAGTGTATCCTGGTCTCATGCCGATGGATGGAGGAAGGCCGACGGAAAAGCAGTCCCCCGGGCGCTGCGTTTACAGCTGGGACAAGATAACCATAACACCAGCCAGCTGCGCGCATTTGTACAGACATGACTAATTGACGGAAAGTTACACCTGGGCAGTGATCTTTGGACTTTCACTTGTGTATTTGGTACGTGGGTTGATCTGTAATTACCGATGCCTCTCCGATGAAGCCCAGTCCCAACGAGTTCAAGTGCAGAGAACAATACCGAGACAGCGGACAGGGGGGGAAATACCACGGGGCTATGGGGTCACAACGCATAGCAGTTTGCTGAGTCAAGAAGCATAATGGTGAAATAATGATAAGATGGGCATAGATAGCCAGACAGAGATAAAAGTAACACGAGTCAACTGCAGTGTATCTCACCTTTCCAAGTGACCATGTACCCCAGCCCCAGTGCGCAAACCCGGATAGAGGTCGCCGTCGGAAATCCTGGGTGAACGAGAACGAGTTTATCAGAGATCACGGGCAGAGACATAATTCCAAAAGAACGCTCTTGGTGTTTGGCCAAGATCCCAAGACAAGTGAAAATAGAAGCGGCATTTTCTCAAGTTTCTGAACCTGATCAATCTGGAAGAAGATCCAGGACACCTCAAGAGCCGCAGCGACTTTTTAGAGAGAGCGTTTCGCGTATCTTGTTAAACGCTCTTGGTGGCCGGCTTGGCGGCTACCGATTGATTGGGCGGCTCTTTTTTCTTGAGATTCAGTGTATGACTGCCCGTTTTCGGGTTTGCCTCGCAAGGATCTGCTGGATTTGAGGGGATCTGTGCTTGGTGTTTGAGGGGCGCGACTCGTGGTGGCTGGACACGGGATGTAGGGAAGTAGGGAGTTGCTGGAGGACTAATGCGCCGGTCCGGGTCGGTCGGTTCGGCAACTTTTGCATAGGGGGCGAGAGTGAGGGGGAAGAGGGAATGGCCAAGAATAAGGTGCCGGCCGGTGACGATATTTCCACGTCGCGTTTGGGGAGGCGAGTAAATCGTCTTGGGGGCCAAGGGCCAAGCTGTCAGGTGTTTTTGCTTGGGGTGTGTTGTGTTTGTATCGTTTATATTAAACGTTTACATTTCAATCCAGATCTGAGCACTACTCGTTGAGGTACGTAAGGCGAACTACTAGCCGTGGTCTATGGTAAGAATCAGCGTCTAACGCGCATCTGCAATGTAAATCTAGGAATATGGTTTGGGGTATATAAGAACAGTTTCGATCGTGCTCTGGGTCTTTTTAAGGCACAGCACCACTAGCGACAAAATTTCTCGCCTGGCGGATGCGATATGCTATTCTCGCTGCGATGGCAATGTGTTATTGGATGTCGTGTTTTCTCAAAGGGAAGACGCAGCAGTCGTGGTTCGGGGACAAGGTGACAATTCAGACTCTAGGGAGACACCGCTGCGCTCTATCTTGGGAATGGAGGGATGGAATACGCACTTG